TGCTAAATTCTGAGGCTGGGCTCAGCCGTAGCACAGCGGTCACAACACCAACCATATACATCAAAGCTGGCCAGTTCGAACCTGACCGGGGCCAGCTAAATAACAATGAAAACTGCAACATCAACAACAACAAAAAATAGCTAAGCATTGTGGTGGACGCCTGTAGTCCCAGCTACTCAGGAGACTAAGGCAAGAGAATCGCCTAAGCTCAAGAATTTGAGGTTGCTATGAGCTGTGATGCCACAGCACTCTACAGAGGGCAACAAAGTGAGACTCTATATTAAAAAAAAAGTTAAAAAAATTTGAATTCTGAGGCTGAAATGAATGTAATAATTTAAGACATTGATGATGTAAATTAAATAAGGAAAAGTTGGCATTAGAAATGGCCAAGATGGCTAGGCGCCTGTGGCTCAAGTGGCTAAGGTGCCAGCCACATGCACCTAAGGTGGCGGGTTCCAATCCAGCCTGGGCCTGCCAAAAAACAACAATGACAGGTGCAACCAAAAAATAGCCGGGCGTTGTGGTGGGTGCCTGTGGTCCCAGTTACTTGGGAGGCTGAGGCAGGAGACTTGCTTGAGCCCAGGAGTTGGAGGTTGCTGTGAGCTGTGATGCCATGGCACTGTACCCAGGGGGATAGCTTTAGGCTCTGTCTCAAAAAAAAAAAAAAATGGCCAAGATACTGCTGTCATCTTTCAAGGCCATGAATGGGTAGGTAAACGTCTAAAGTGATTAAAGAAAGATTAAGAGGCTAGGCTTTGGGCGGTGCCATATGCCGGAGGTGGTGGGTTCAAACCTAGCCCTGGCCAAAAAAAAAAATAGGCTAGGCTTTAATTATTTTGACTAAAATTGGGAAACAGAGCAGCACCTGTGGCTCAGTGAGTAGGGCACGAGCCCCAAATACCGAGGGTGCTGGGTTCAAACCCAGCCCTGGCCAGACTGCAACAAAATAATAGCCGGGCATTGTGGCAGGTACCTGTAGTCCCAGATACTTGGGAAGCTGAGGCAAGAGAATCACCTAAGCCCAAGAGCTGGAGGTTGCTGTGAGCTGTGACACTACGGCACTCTACTGAGGATGACAAAGTGAGACTCTGTCTCTAAAAAATAAAAAAAGTAAAATAAATTAAAATTGGGAAACAAAGCTAAAATCTTTACTATCATGATTTTAGCCTGATTCTGAACATTTCTGTCAGGTACTTATGGGGTAAAACAGAAATAATGGTTATAATTATTGGAAAATGTTGGAAAATTTCCTGACACAGGACAATATAGTCTCAAAAATAATAAGTGACAACAAATAGCTGGGTGTGGTGGCTCAGCCTGTGATCGCAGCACTCTGGGAGGCTGAGGCGGATGGATTGTTTGAGTTCAGGAGTTTGAAACCAGCCTGAGCAAGAGTAAGACACTGTCTACTAAATATAGAAAAATTAGCCAAGCATTGTGGTGGGCACCTGTAGTCCCATTTACTTGGGAGGCTGAGGCAAGGGGATCACTTGAACCCAGGAGTTAGAGGTTGCTATGAGCTGTGGCCCTGGAGCACTCTACCCAGGGCAACAAAGTGACTCTGTCTCAAAAAAAAAAAAAAGTTGAAGGCATACAAGAGGGTCACCTGTTTCTTCTCAGACATAAAATAAATTAGACAAAATATTTATTTATTTTATATTTGAGACACTACAGGTGCTTGCAATAATGCCTGGCCGTTTTTAGAGACGGGAGTCTCCATCTATCTCAGGCTAGCCTAGAACTCATGAGCTCAGGCAGTCCACCTGCCTTGGCCTTCCCAGAGTGCTAGGATTACAGGTGTGAGCCACCGTGCCTGGCCTAGTTTTTCTATTGTTATTTTTTCTACTGAGACAGAGTCTTACTTTGTTGCCCTACATAGAGTGCTATGGCATCATAGCTCACAGCAACTTCAAACTCTTGGGTTTAAGCCATTCTCTTGGCTCAGCCTCCCTAGTAGCTGCTACTACAGGGACCTGCCACAACTCCTGGCTATTTTCTTGTTGCAGTTGTCATTGTTGTTTAGCTGACCTGGGCCATGTTCCAACCCACCAGCCCCGGAGTATGTGGTTGGTCCTAACCATTGAGCAATGGACACCCAGCCTAGTTTTCCTATTTTTGGTAGAGATGGGGTCCTGCTTTGCTCAGGTTGGTCTTGGTTTCCCCAGAGTGCTAGGATTACAAGGATGAGCCACCAAAGCCTGGCCAGTCCTGAGCATTTTTTTTTTTTTATTTTTATTTATTATTTATTTTTTTTGTAGAGACAGAGTCTCACTTTATTGCCCTTGGTAGAGTGCCTTGGTGTCACACTGCTCATAGCAACCTCCAACTTCTGGGCTTAGGTGATTCTCTTGCCTCAGCCTCCTAGTTTGTTTTTTTATTTTTTGAGACAGTGTCTCATTATGTCGTCCTCCATAGAGTGCTGTGGTGTCACAACTCACAGCAACCTCGAACTCTTGGGTTTGCGCAATTCTCTTGCTTCAGCCTCCTAAGTAGCTGGGACTACAGGCGCATCCCACTACACTCGGCTATTTTTTGTTTCTAGTTTTTGTTGTTTGGTAGGCCCAGTCTGGATTCAAACCCACCAGTTCCCGTGTTAGGTGGCTGGCGCTCTAGCTGCTGAGCTACGGGCACCATTCAGTCCTAAGCATTTAAATAACTAATTGTTTGGATGTTTACAAGGCTGAAAGAAGGTGGCTTGGGGCATTTTCTTCCTGCTGGTGAGTTCAGCAGGGTTTAGGCTGGACTTTGGCCCCTCATCCATCAGGGCTTACAGTTTCTGATTGTCTGTGAGTGTTTCTTTCCTTTGATCCCAGGGCTAGCTGGGTTTCTGGCTTTGAGTCTTTTTTTTATTTCCTCTTATTTTTTTTTTTTTTTTTTTTGAGACAGAGCCTCAAGCTATTCCCTGGGTAGAGTGCTGTGACATCACATCTCACAGCAACCTCCAACTCCTGGGCTCAAGCAAGTCTCCTGCCTCCACCTCCCAAGTAGCTGGGACCACAGGTGCCTGCCACAATGCCCAGCTATTTTTTGGTTGCAGCTGTCATTGTTGTTTGGTGGCCCAGGCTGGATTTGAACCTGCCACCTTAGGTGTATGTGGCTGGCGCCTTAGCCACTTGAGCCACAGGCGTGGAGCCTTTTTATTTCCTCTTGAATTAACAGTTTTTGTCTACAAAATGGCCCCCCTCCTTGGGGGACGGGGTCCTGGGCTGGGCAGGGAGGGAAACGGAGCCCAACACACAGAGAACGCCTGTGCTTGGTTTCTGTAGACCTTGCCAAAGTGAGTCTGAGTGCAGAGGTGTGTGCTGGTGCATGACCCAACCCTGGGGACTGTCATGGGCCAGCTTCCCTGAGAACAGCACCCAGGCTGGAAACAGTGGGGCAGTCAGCTCTGACTGCTGGCAGAGGCTGTTTTTCTGACTTTGGACTTTATGAAAGGGAGCCATCCTGTGTGTATTCAGTTGTATCTGCCCCTTTCCCTCACCTTGACCTTTGGGAGATGGACCCTGTTGTTGAGGGATGGGGGGTTAGACTCACTGCTTTAGATTCCTGGGAGCACTTTGTGTGCTCATCCTCCACGTGTGACAGCTTCCTGAATGGTCCCAGAGCCCACTCCAGCTGCTGCCGGCACCAAGGCTGTAAGCCATGCATGCACCCAGGATGGGCATGTGCAGCCACAGGAAGTGGCCTGAGCTACGGTGGGAACAGGTTGGCCACACGTGCACATCCCACTACAGTGCACTCCAACTTGTGGTGCTACCTGCCCTTCCAGCACTTGATAGTCTTTTCCATTTTAGCAGTTTTGTTCTGTGTACTTTTTTTTTTGCAGTTTTTGGCCAGGGCTGCGTTTGAACCTGCCACCTCCGGCATAGGGAACCGGTGCCTTACTCCTTTGAACCATAGGCGCTACCCTCTGTGTACTAATTTTATTTTATTTTTTTTGAGACAGAGTTTCACTATGTTGCCCTCAGTAGAGTTCTGTTGTGTTACAGCTCACAGCAACCTCAAACTCTTGGTCTTAAGCGATTCTGTTTCCTCAGACTCCCAAGTAGCTGGGACTACAGGTGCTGCCATAATGCCCAGCTATTTTTAGAGACAGAATCTCGCTTTTGCTCAGGCTGGTCTTGAACATGTGAGCTCAGGCAATCTACCCGTCTTGGCCTCCCAAAGTGCTGGGATTATAGGCGTGAGCCATCCCTGTCATCTTCAGGTTGAGTAGGCTGGGGGCTGGGGACGGAGGTGGGAGAAAATCCATGTGTTTAAGTGGAGCTATGAAGTTTAACACAGCAGTGCTTGAAAGGGCCATTCCTCGGAGCGCTGTGGCTCAAAGGAGTAGGGCGCCGGCCCCATATGCCAGAGGTGGTGGGTTCAAACCCAGCCCCGGCCAAAAACTGCAAAACAAAAAAAAAAAAAGAAGAAGAAAGGGCCATTCCTCCTTGAGATGAGGTCTGCATCTGCCTGACTATCCTCAAGTGCCACCTTGTGCAGAGGCAGGGGCATGCCTGTGCTTTGGGCATGTTGTCCTATTTCATTTCCTGGTGATGGCTGGTTGCGTCTTGTCTGTCCACAGCTTAGGACACTGAGTCTCAGGCATGAGGCTGGCTAAGTGTGAGGGCGGAGCAGTCCCATGTCCTTATGTGCTCCCTACCAGTTCTCAAGTGCTCAGAATGTGCCTGCCTGTCCTTCCCCCTACCCCACCCCTGTGTGTGTGTGTGTGTGTTGGGCTGGATCTCAGCTGATGAGCCACTTTGCCCTGCTGCCCGAGAGGTCTGAGTGGCTTTGAAGCCATGCAGAGGCTGGGCACCGGGAGAGTCCTGGGGGCTCAGCTGCCTGGGGTCTCCTGGGTGCTGGGACGTCTGTTCTCGTTTCAGCCAGGCACTTGGCTGCGACAGGCTGGGCTGGGTTGCTTGTAATAAGGTATTTTCCAAATTGGAGCCTAGGTGCTTCTCTCTTATAGGGTGGCACTTTCTCCTCTGATGCTGGAGTCATCCTGATGATCCATTGGCGTCTGTCCCCTCTGCTCTGAGGAAGCAGATGGCAATGTCTCAGGCGCAGGATTATGAATGCAGGAGTCATAATGCTGACGTGCAGGAGGCGAGGATTTCAGGATCAAGCACTAGGTAAGGAGTGCCATCATGAACCCTTGGGAGGTGGGAGGGAGCAATATTTCTCCTTCAAAGAAAGAGATGTAGGGGCAGGGAGCCTCAGAGAGGCATGCTTGTGCCCTTGTCTTGGGTGCATGCTGGCCCTGTGCACAGCTCTGCTTAGGCTCTGGCCAGTTATTGGGGCTTTTGAACTTGGACATCCTGCACTCTACCTCTGATGCCTGTCAGGAGTAAGGCCCTGCTCTACCCCCCAGCATCTCCCACCTCAGCTGGACCTCACCCTGTGACTCTAGCTGGCCAGCCTCCTCTGGGCATTGCTCCCTCACAGGTGCAGGCAGCTGTAGGTTATTACTTTTATTTGTCCCATTTTTAAGTTTCTACTTAGAGATAGCATAAAGAGCAGTGGAGAGAGTGGGGCAGTCTGGACGTGCCTATGGCTCAGTGGGTAGGGCGCTGGACCCATATACTGAGGGTGGTAGGTTCAAACCAAGCCCCAGCCAACAAAAAATAGCCAGGCGTTGTGGTGGGCACCTGTAGTCCCGGCAACTTGAGAGCTTAGGTGTGTGGCCCCCGATGCTTATTATCTCCAGTGAGCCTGGCACTGGCTTCAGCCTTGGTCCTCTCTGCCACCTATCAGCTATACCAGCTGATGCCCTGCTGTCCTTCTTCATGTCCCCTCGGGTTCCTCTGGGTTGGGTGTGCCTCTGGCTGTTACCTGCTTAGGGTTTTAACCTGGTGGATTTCCACAGCTTTTCTCAGTCTTTGTTCTTACCGTAAGAAATGTTGCTCAAGTGGCTAAGGCGCCAGCCACATACACCTGAGCTGGCGGGTTCGAAACCAGCTCGGGCCCACCAAACAACAATGACGGCTGCAACCAAAAAATAGCCAGGTGTTGTGGCAGGTGCCTGTATTCCCAGCTACTTGGGAGGCAGAGGCAGGAGAATCACTTGAGCCCAGGAATTGGAGATTGCTGTGTGATTCCACGGCACTCTACCCGGGGCGATGCTTGAGGCTCTGTCTCAAAAAAAAAAAAGTTGCTGTTTTTGAAATAGCTTTCTTGGGTGTCATTTTGTCTGATGATTTCTTAGTGGGCTGCCACACAGGTGGTTTCAATCCCTAAGGATTCCACATCTGTAGATGCATATGGTCTGTGTGTCCTTGCTTGGTGCTGTCCCTTCCCATCACCTGATGAGGTCTGGCCTGTTCTCGCTGAGGTAGAATTCCTGTAATTCCTGCCTTCCCAGCAACCTCTGAGCACTCTGGGGCCTCAATTCTGACATTCCTGTTGCTCCTACTTTGAGCCAGACTTCCCTGGGGCTTCCTGACACAGGGCACTGGCATTCCAGCCCTACCACCCCTGCCACACTGTGGTTGGTGCTGACGCTGTCTGAGTAGGAGCCCACGTCTTCCATTGCTCTCCCTGGGTGGACTCATGAGCTCCTTGTTGTTTTACGTGGTTTGTGTCATTCCTGTACTGAATTACTATGGTGCTAACTCTGCCCCAGATGGTTCAGTGAGAGTCCTTTTGGAGGCTCCTGTGTCCTGGTGTCCCCATCATTCTTTGGAGAACTTCCTTCCTTCTGGTATAACTCTTTGCACAGCCCTGGAATTAGCTGTTTCCTGAGGAGCCTGGTTCCTCTAGGGAAGAAGAGTTAAAGGGCAAGGCCTGCTCTGACTGTGTGTGTTGCTCCTCAGTGCCTGTGCTGAGTAAGCACAGAGATGCATGCACACATGCACACGTGCACCCACAGTTCCAGTCAAGTCTCATACAAGTGGTTTTGGTCTTTCCCATCCTACTTGGCGGAAACCCTGGCTCCTGGGCACGCCAGCATGTTTCCTCACTCACCCGATACGTGTGGAATTGTCTCAGAGTCACTTCACCCAGTCCACTTAAAAAAGGTACAGACTGAAAAAGCTGAGAGTGGTATGCATTTCCCATGTGTACACTTCACCCCAGGGATGAACAGCACACTGTAACCCTGTGAATCACTTGATTAATTCTTTTCTTTTTGGCACTTCCTGTGGTTCTGACGTTCATTGAAACGCAACTGGCTTCACTTCTTTCAGTTAAAAGTTTCTTGTTCTCCCTTCCTATTCAAATGCTTCCAAAAGTCAAAACTGAAGGAAAGGCACATTCAGTAAGGGCTCATACCCTTTTCTGTGCCCCTACCTACCTGTTGCAAGTAGGAAAACTTCTTGGTTTTTGGTTTATTTTGTGTTTCCAGATGTTGGTGCTGCTATTTGTTTATATTTTTTGGAATATTTTATATTATTTGTTTATATTTTTAGATCTCTACTGAGATCTCTTGTCCACCTTTAAATTGGGTTATCTAACATTCTATTATTGAATTATAAGGTTTCTTTGTATATTCTGGATTTAAGTTCTTCGTTGGATAAATGATTTGCAAATGTTTTCTTCATTCTGTGGTTGTGTTTTCACTCCTTTTTTTTTTTTTCCTTTTAGAGACAGGGTCTCTCCCTGTCACCCAGGCAGGAGCATTGGTGTGGGACATGCCACCACACCTGACTAGTTTTTCTTTCTCTCTCTCTCTTTTTTCTTTTCATTATCCAGATAGGATCTCACTATGTGAGACAGGCTGGTCTCAAGCTTGTGGGCTCCTATAATCCTCTCCCCTGGACCTCCCAAAGCACTGGCATAACAAATGTGAGCCTTTGTACTCAACCCTTTTCTTTTCTTTTTTTTTTTTTTTTTTTTTTTGCAGTTTTTGGCCAGGGCTGGGTTTGAACCCACAATCTCTGGCATATGGGACCAGTGCCTTACTCTTCTGAGCCAGAGGCACCACCCTATTTTCATGCGATTGTTTATCACACAGAAATTTTCATTTTATGAACTTCAATTACCTACTGCTTACCTTTTTGTTTGTGCTTTATATGTCATATCTAAGAATCTATTGCCAGGGCAGTGCCTGTGCTCAGTGAGTAGGGTGCCGGCCCCATATACCGAGGGTGGCGGGTTCAAACCCGGCCCCAGCTAAACTGCAATGACAACAAAAAAATAGTTGGGCGTTGTGGCAGGCACCTGTAGTCCCAGCTACTGGGGAGGCTGAGGCAAGAGAATTGCCTAAGCCCAGGAGTTGGAGGTTGCTGTGAGCTGTGTGATGCCACGGCACTCTACTGAGAGTGGTAAAGTGAGACCTGTCTCTACAAAAAAAAAAATTAAAAAAAGAATCTATTGCCAAATCTAGGGTCTTACAGATGCACCCCATTTTCTTTAAGTGTTATAATTTTAGCTTTTATGTTTAGGTCTTTGATCTATTTTGAATGAATTTTGTATTCTGGTATGAGGTGGGGGCCACCTTCATTCTTGTGCAGGCAGCTGTCCATGTATTTCAGGGTAATTTGTTGAAGAGACTGTCCTTTTCTCATTGAGTGGTCTTGACACCTCTTAAGGATCTTGGGGTAGGGAAAATTTTTTCACTCTTGTCCCACTTACCTGGGAAGTTGCTCAATTGATATGTGGTACTCATTATCTCCACTTGGGAAATACATACTTGGACAGATCATTGTCTGTAAATAAACATCTCTAAGAAACAGGAGCCCCAGGAAGGCTGCATCTGTGCGACCTCACACTCTGAAGATTACTGAGGCAGCCTGTTCCCTGCCGCCTTCAGTCTCGACCTAGGGATCATAAACAGCTTTTATCCTTCCATCTGTCACCAAATGGCTTATTTTTCTCTTCCCAGTTCATTTAAATACTGTTACCAAAAAAATCTTCCTCATAGACACAGCTCTGATTATGTAAGCAGGGTATTGCCAACCTCTGGACTTCCTGTAGGACCTTGTCTCCTGTCTGTGAAGCTCCCCCACCCCCTGCCCCATGGGGCAATTCCCACGCCTCCCATCCTCGTCTCCACACCAGCCTGGTGTAGCCATTTGTCCCTGCATCCATGCTGCCCTTTAGCCTGGGGGTTCAGCTGGCTCAGGCACCAACCCCAGCTAACAAGAGGTGTGTTCTCCAGTCCACATGGTGTTGGCCCTTCCCACCTTGCCTGACAAGGAGCCAATCTGCAGACGTGGCACTGCCATCTACATGCAGCCACCAGTTAGACTCTCCTCCTTGTCCTCAAGGTCCAGCTCTTGGCGAGTCCATGGGACACCTGAGAGTGGGCCACCCCTCTGTGCTCTGAAGCCCTCGCGATGGACATATGCTGAATGTTGCCTTATTCTGGCAGTGGCTTCCTGAGGCCTAGTGTCCTGTCATTGTCTGCCCTCTCGTTTCCTGACCATCTTAGTTCAATACTGTCCCCCACGAGGTGCCCAGAACATTCTTAAAAGACTGCTGTCCTGGTTTGGCGCCTGTGGCTCAAGTGGCTAAGGCGCCAGCCTCATACACCTAAAGTGGCAGGTTCGAATCCAGCCCGGGCCCACCAAACAACAATGATGGCTGCAACCAAAAAATAGCTGGGTATTGTGGCAGGCACCTGTGGTCCCAGCTACTTGGGAGGC